TGGGATATTCTAGTTTTCAGATGCGAAGATTGGCTCAGGATAAGCAGCGATGTAGTGTACCCAAGCAGACTGACGACATAAGGATGATGATGATGGGGTATTTAAATTAAAATCGCGTTCTTAATTTTATCTTAATGGTTGGAAAATGGGAATGATAATGGGAAATCAAAAGTAGAGAAGATATCCACCTACAAATTTTAATTTCAATCTGCATATGAGAGTACGGAATACATAATAAATACAATTATTCAGATGATGACGCATGTCAAAAACTGAGAACAATATTTATTTAAATCATTGAATCATTTTGAACTTCATCTTCTTTTTGAGTTTCACAGTCTATAAATGTAATTGTCATGTACTTGCACGAATGGGTGAGAATATAAATGCTACACGGTTAGCTCATGCGAGCCATGGGCGCCGCCATATTGGCCTTGGCTGCTCTGCCGAGCGCCTTTCAGTTTTACCCCTACTCCGCGGCCGGCTGTAATGCGACATGCGATAGATGGACGACAAAATTTGAGGCGATGTAATAAAAGTTTCACTTTAAAAATAAATAAGAAAATTATTGAAACGAAAGTAATTATTAGTATTAATTTATTATTATAGGTTGTCACCGAGATGTCAGGTTACTAGGAGTGAGAACGAACGCTGAGAGGCCCCACCTATTGCTTTTCTTCAAAATAGTTAGACACGAGCATGCTTATTGCACAGTTTCGATTTTCGTTATCATAGAAATAACTGTCAACATGCGCATGCTCATCCTATTTATTAAGGGTAGAGGTAAGGAGTAATATCTCTGTAGTAAAAGTGTCCGTGAAACTGCGTCAAATTAGGGTGGCGTTGCAGTAGCAACAGGGTAAATTTCAAATAAAACGCCAAGTTATTAAAATTGGATAGAAAAATAAACAAGGACAAAATTACTACGTAAAAACTTGAGGTTTGGACTATCACTAACTATTCTAGTCACTAAAAATATTAAATTTTCTAACTCGACATACTTTAATCCGTCAACAACTGCTACACTCATACTATACCTTTTGCCTACGCTAGCGTCATTTTGGAAGGTTCTTGAACTGTTATTTACTATTTACACCTGGCCACTTTTACAACATTCCTTCCATATGAGACAGTTCACCTTATCTCTACCTTCATAGTTTGAAATCACCGATTAAAATTCGCGCCAATCGGAGCTTTCCGGAATGAGTCGAATGCTTCCGTGAATTTCGGATCTATGCATGATCTATGGTACTTATTAGAATATAACAGGCCATTCATAAATGATTTATAATAAGCAATACGACGAAAAATATAAGGAAAAAATGGTTAATTGCAAAAATAAATACAAAAATCGAGATATTTGAAGAAGTACTAATGTCCAATTAACCGATTTTGTGCATTTCTAGTGGAAGTTATCATTTTTATCCTATTCTATTTTTTATTAGAAACGTGAAATATATTTTATCCAAAATGTCGAGTACATCACAAAAGCATCGTAATTTTGTTGCAGAACCGATGGGGGATAAACCTGTAACAGAGTTAGCTGGAATAGGTGAAGTTTTAGGAAAGAGGTTGATTGCTGCAGGTTTTGATAAGGTTAAAAGAAACATTTAAATATTAGGTGTTATTATTAATGCTCTGTTTTATAGGCATACGTTGTTTTGGGACAATTTTTAGTATTAAAAAAAAATCAAGAATTATTTCAAGAATGGATGAAAGATGTTTGTCAAGCCAATGCTAAACAATCAAATGATTGCTATCAATGTCTTCACGACTGGTGTGAAGAATTCTTGTAAACTATATTGAATATATTTTATCACTAACTATCTCCAAGTACAACCTTTTGTTACACTTATTAACAATTGTGAGAAATAGCAGAGACTAATAATATTATTATCTTCATATTAAGCTTTTGATTGCAATTCTCATTAAGTCTTGTTTATTTTATTTTATTGTTTGTTAGTGAAGTAGTAAAATTCCAACATTATATTTAATGTTATAGTAGTATGCCTAGACAAACCAATTAATAAGAGTGATTATCAATATTTGCAGGCATTCCTTAGAAACTATTTTGTCTTAACAGTTAATTCATATGAGATCTCTGAAAAGATTAACATTCAAATGGGCATGTGGTCATGTGTATCCCTATTTGAGAGATATAAAGCAATAATTAATTAATTATTTATTTTAGTATTCAGACACATCAACTTTATGATAGGACACAATTTGTTTAAAATAAAAAATTTGAAAAACAATTATATAACTTAAATTTTTTTGGCACGTTGGCAAGACAAAATTTTCTCATACACTTACCTCTAACTAGCTTTATGTAGTATAATAAAATCAGTTGCTTCTATAAGATCAAGAAATTAGAATCCAAGTATTTATCAACTCAAGTCTAGTTTTCTTCAGAATCAGTTTTTTCCATTATTACATTAATTGCAAATGTATGACATTAGATGAAACCTGATGACTACAAAGAATACACAAGTACACAAATTGTAAACAAATAGTTACAGGAAGTCAACTAACTACTCTTGGTAAAAGCTTAAAAAACCGAAACAATTGTTGAGTAAAACTAAATAAATTGAAACATTAAAAAGCAAGGTGGTTTTATTTATTTAATATTACAAAATGCGTCATATTGCACCAACCAATAAATATGGATAGTTTATATTTATGATAGCATAGACTATTTAATTTACTTGTCAGTAACAGAAGTAGGTGCTGCATGGAGCAGTTACAACTTCTGCAAAAGGGTAATTAGCTTATAAAACTTAAACAAAAAGTTATTGAATATAATATAACGTTAAAGAAATAAGTACAAATCATATATTACAAATTAGACTTCATTGAATTATGACAGGTAACTACATTTAAGCAATGTAAAGTAGTGAGCAGTTGTTTCAGTACATTATACTCCCAAATTTTGCACAACAGTTCTTGCTCTAATTAGTTTCATTTTGTCACATGAATCTGCATTTGCCAACTGTTCTTCTTCTACAATACTTACTGCTTTTTCTACAATAGCATCTTTAACTTTCCCTTTACTTTGTGTAAAATATTCAAGTAAAATAATGAAAAAATTGTCTGGAACTTTGCTGATATCATACATATTCTGCTGTAGCCAAACTTGCCTTAACTTTTCAAATTTCCATTTGCTTTTATGATGTTTCCATAAAGATAAGTAATTTAAGGACCGTTGCTGATTGGTTAAAACTGATTTTAACTGTTTTTCTTTTAAAAGCAGAGCATGCCTCTTTCTTTTTAATGATCTTCTAGATTCTTCATTTTTTATGACTTCTTCATGTCCCTGATTTTTATTAATTAAATTGTTACTTTGATTTTCACTGGTGTTAATTTTTTCTACACATTCAGCAGTTACTGTTACTTGTGTATCATTACCAGGTAATTCTCGTTTCTGCTTATGATTGTTACCTACTGTATTTTCTAAGATTTGCTTTACTTCATTTCGGGTTATAACTTCACCATCTAAAGTAATTTTTCTCGCTTTTCTTCCTTTCTTCATATTTTATTACTTAACTTGCCAATAACAGCACACCTCATAACCTAGACAGGCAAGCGGATGCGATCATAGACATATATTAATGGACGTGCCTTAGCCGTATGTCATTGTAATAATTTCTTGGCTCGAAAAGTGAGGGAGATGGCGTATGGCTTCGGACTAATGCTTTCTCTTTAATGACACGCTTCCGCACTATCGTGAGAGAGATGGATATTGTCCGAAATTTCGTTCCATCTCTTTCTTTCGGTGTACCACAATTCTGACCGCTAAGGCACGTCCACTAGTAGACGTCGATGGGTGCGATATCATAATTACCATTATTTATGATTACCATTGTCATAGGATCATAGTCAATCATGTCATTTGGTTGGAGCCTTGTCTTTTGTCTATCATTGGAACTGATTGTAATTGTCACACCATGATGACCTATGAGTCGTGTGAATTCGGCACCCGATATAATAATTCACTGATTCAAACTTTAGCAGTAAATTACACGTCGTTTGCGGATTCTAAATATATGAGCAGTATAACTGTGG